TTAGTTACTGTTAGACCACCAACCAAGCAGGTTGTACTTCTCTTTAACCTCCAAGAGGTTATGGGCCCAGTGCTTGGGTGGTTGCCAAGAAACGGATCAACAACGGAAGAAAATTTTCATTGAAGCCAGGTAAAATGGAGAAAATTCAAGTCCCGAAGTTCAGCACCGAACTGTTGCTGATTCGTGAAGATCTATGGAAATACGTCACCGGGGCAAGACCAGAGGCACGAGCTGCGACGGAACGTGACCCGGGAAATGCGGCCGCTATCGAAGCCTGGAACTCTGGGGACCAGCGTGCACGAGCGACAATTGGTCTTTTGATGGAGACAAACCGGCATGGCCTCATCAAGCAGACGAAAACGGCTCGTGAAGCGTGGGACAAGCTGAAGGACCATTTCGAGAAGCCGACGTTGACATCGAAGGTATCGTATCTGCGGAACTTGATTTCCAAACGGTACTGTGAAGGCGAGGACATGGAGAAGCACGTGAATGAAATGGAGGAAGTTTTCGAACGTCTTTCCGTGTCAGGATTGAAGCTGGACGAAAAGCTGCAGGTTGCGTTGGTGCTCAGTAGTCTACCTAAATCGTTCAACACGCTGACGACCGCGTTGGAGAGTCGGGCGGACGCTGAATTGACGCTGGAGCTCGTGCAAACCAAGCTGGTCGACGAAGTGACGAAACATGGTAGCTACAACAATTACGCTTTCAGATACCCTGTTTGTACCGAATCTAGAGACGAATCTGATCTCGGTGCGCAAGCGAAAAGCGGAAAGGTGATTTTCGACACCGAAAACTGCAGAATCATGAAAGGAGCGCAAGTTGCAGCAGTGGTTTGTACGTCATAAAAAACGCCCACAACGCTTTGAAGACCGGGGTGAAATCGCACACGCAAAACTGCCAACACGTGTGGCACAGGAAGATGGATCACCGAGATAAAGATGCTGTCCAGGAGCTGGTGAAAAAGGAGCTAGTAACCGGAATGAAAATCGAAGACTGTGGTATACGGTCTGTTTACGAGTGCTGCCAAAAAGGAAAATTGGCGAGACTTCCGTTTCCGAAGAAGTCTAAGAAACGATCGAAAGAGCCTTTGGACCTCATCCACGTGGACGTGTGTGGTCCGATGAAGAATGTCACACCAGGAGGATGTCGGTACTATCTCACCGTCACCGACGATTATTCTCGCTACACAAATGTGTTTTTCCTGCGGGAGAAATCGGATGCTGAGAGATTTTGTGATGGAAGTGAAGCCGACGTTTGGCCGACCGCCGAAGATTGTGCGTTCCGACAATGGTGGTGAGTTCAAGAACAGGTCACTGGAGAGTTTTTATTCAAGAAAGAAGGAATCAGGTAGCAGGTCACTACTCCACACACCCCGCAACAGAACGGGACAGCAGAACGCAAGAACTGCTCTTTGAACGAAATGGCGCGGTGTATGCTGCTGGATGCAAGGCTTCCGAGGTACTGGGCGGAGGCTATGAACACATCGAACTATCTTCAAAATCGACTTCCGACCAGGTCATTGAAGACCACACCTTACGAAGCATGGTGGGGAGAAAAACCGGACCTGGGTCACCTTCAAGTTTTTGGTGCAGACGCTTATGTGTGGATCCCGAAGCACAACCGGACGAAGTTGACTTTCGTTGGTTATTCGGTACAACAAAAAGCGTACCGATTCCTGGACAGAAGCACTGGACACATTATCAATAACAGAGATGCTCGATTTTTGCCGACATGCAGCTTCCAGGACGAAGAAGATGACAATGGAAGTAACATTGACTTCCCGTTGACCGACAATTCAAAAACTAATAATTTTCCTATCGTTGCAGGGGACGTTCTCGGTGAGCCAAGATGAGGAAGAACTTGTGTCGGAATTCGAAGCGGAAGAGGATCAATACGATACATCCAACGAATCATACGAGGACGCTACGCTCACCGAGCAGCACAATGCCGATGAACGTCCCCTCAACGCACCGAGAGATCCATTGTCCACGTTTATCCCGATACGTGCCTCAAGTCGGTCAACCAAAGGGGTACTGCCGAATCGATTCACTAAAACCAGCAAGCTGATGAGTCAGCAATCGTTCGAGCCGACGACGCTAGCAGAAGCACTGTCGGGTGCAGAGCGTGAAAACTGGAAGAAAGCGATGGACGAGGAGTATACGTCGCTGCAGGAAAACTCCACATGGGATATCGTCAGCCTTCCCACCAATCGGAAATCAGTAGGCTGCCGGTGGATTTTCAAGAAGAAGCTGGATGAAGACGGGAATGTAGCAAGATACAAGGCCCAACTTGTCGCTCAAGGGTACAGCCAAAAATTTGGTACTGACTACGACGAGGTCTACGCGCCGGTTGCAAAACACGCCACGTTCCGGGCGCTCCTGTCGGTAGCAGCACGCCGAAAGATGCAGGTGAAGCATGTCGACATCAAGACGGCGTATCTGTATGGAGAAATTTCGGAGACAATTTACATGCGTCAGCCACCAGGGTACGAAACCGGAAGTCCAACGGATGTATGCCATTTGAGGAGGAGCTTGTACGGCCTGAAGCAAGCAGAAAGGGTTTGGAACAAGACCATTACCGACGTTCTGAAGAAGCTGGGGTACGAAGCAACGGAAGCCGATAGCTGTCTATTCGTAAAGACCGGCCGTGAGTTGTCCTTCATCCTACTGTATGTGGATGATATGTTATAGGAGTACGAATCAGTACGGAAGCACCTGCAGCAGAAATTCAAGATTTCGTGTCTGGGTGATGTAAGCAACTACCTTGGGATTCGTGTTGAACGTGATGCTGATGGAAGTTTCCTATTGTGTCAAGACACGTACATTTCGAAGATGCTGACCACGTTTGGGATGGAACAAGCAAAATCGTCACTGATTCCGATGGACCCCGGGTTCATCACCATAGAGCAAAAGGAGGAGGAAATGTTGCCCATCGACAAATACCAGAGCCTTGTGGGAGCTTTGCTCTACGTTGCTGTTTGCACACGACCCGATTTAGCGATCACGGCGTCCATCCTTGGACGCAAAGTCAGCAAACCAACGGAACGTGACTGGACGGAAGCGAAAGGAGCCCTGCGGTATTTGAAGGGTACTGCTGGACTAAAGCTACGACTGGGAGGAAGAGGCAATCTTGAAGGATACGCTGACGCTGACTGGGCGGGCGACCGTACGAATGGAAAGTCCAATTCTGGATTTCTGTTCAAGCTTGGCGGAGGAGTAATTAGCTGGACAGCTCGCAAGCAGAAGTGCGTGACCTTGTCTTCAACCGAAGCGGAATATGTCGTACTTGCGAAGGCCACCACAGAGCTTCTCTGGCTGCTCAAGTTAATGCGAGGACTAGGCGAGGATTTTCAGCAACCCGTGACCGTCTACGAAGACAACCAAAGCTGTATCAGTATGCTGAGTGCCGAAGGAGTGACGAGACGAACAAAGCACATCGATACCAGGTATAACTTTGTCCGGGATTTGTACGGATCAGAAGTTCTCAACATCGTGTATTGTCCATCAGAGGAGATGTTAGCGGATGCGCTGACAAAACCACTAGGCCGAATTAAGCTGCAGAAGATACGGGAGGAGATTGGCTTGCAGAACATCGTCCTTGAGAAGGAGTGTTGAAGTAGAAACAAGAACGACATTGAAGCAAGCCATGCTATTATTAATTTGTATTCTCTCAGAAAATAAATGTTAGTTACTGTTAGACCACCAACCAAGCAGGTTGTACTTCTCTTTAACCTCCAAGAAATTTAATATAGTCACTTTGATTAGATATCGAGTTGCAGTTTTCTGTAAAGTTGTTCAGAAGGTAAGGTATTGAACCCTTCCTAAAAAAATGTTTCCACTAGACGGCGTTTGCAGCCAAAATGAGTTCACATCGCCATATGCAGTCACCAACCAATTCGATTCGTCGTAAAATGCTCCGAAACACAGTCATCCCGTTTCAAGTGATACACATTTTCCTCAATCAGCAGGGCAAGTCTGTAAATTTAAGAATTAGAAAGGCATAAACTGTCCGTGCCGGAGAACCGACCGTAGGAGAGTAGCTGCTTTTACGACCTTCCATCTCCGCACCACCGATATGGAGAGCCAGAGCCGGCAGAAGAACGCGGGCAACCGGGCGAGCGCGCTCGCGACGCAGAGTGCAATATCAATAAATGTCCAGATATCGAAATGGAAGCATATTTTTCACCACGTTCGATACAGTTTTTTCCACCAACAACGACCGGGCTTGGGTCGCGTAACAGAAACCGGTAGGGTCGATAACGCGGCTGGACACTGTCGGACCGGGACGGAAAGGATTTAATTAAATCCAATCTCAAGAATAATAAAATATTTGAACAAACTACCGGGTCTGGGGAGCTGTCGCTGTGATCGCGGAGATCGCGACGAACCGGCCGACGTACGCGTACGTGGGTAATTTTTACATTGCAAACGGTTGTAAGTCTTAATGCAAATTTGCTTCGGTTGCAGGCTGCTGCTGCTGCTGCTACTGCATTTGCGGCGAATAATGATGGTCAATTTTCTGTAACTGTAGCACACAATCTATTTACGAGGGCTGCCGTGTGAGAAAAATGGCTCGGAGGAGACTTTGGAGTTAATTAAAAATGGTGAAGTCACGGCTGGAGGGGGAGGGTGCCACAGATTAGCCATGGCGATTAATGGCAAGGTCTGGGAGTAATTAGAATTTATGGCACCCGATTGGCGTTTGTGGATCGTCGTCTCTCGTCGGTAGCAACCCGAGTGGAGTGAGTAATATTTTCCAACGAAACGATTACCGTTTCCGCCGAGTTAATTGAACGCAATCAATTTGGCACTAGGCTGGGGGCGAACTATTTTCGCCCCCGTCTGAAATCATCACTTTGCTGGTCGGTTTCCAAATCACATACATTTAAAATCTACTTAGGAAATCAAAAATCAGCATTGCAATTCGCCTGCACACTTCAATTTCTTTTACATTTAATCTGTAGCTCAAACATCAAGGCGATGAAAACCGAACCGACTTACCTTTTGGCACTGTCGAGAAAGAACTCGAACTCCTTTCCCATCTTGCAGCAGAGCGCTTTCCGAAAGTGTCCTTGCGAGCAGTTGGTGTTGACCATGTGACCGTCTGGAAAAAAAAATAAATAATGTAAGGGTCAATGCAGAGAATTGCCAAACTCAAAACCGAAAATCCGGGGAAACGGGCCGCAGTCCGGCTAATCAAAATGTTCGAAATATTTTCATATCGCAACCGCTGTCGCTTCGGATTTTCAGTGGCATTGTTGGGAAGAAGGCACAATATTCAAGGAATGGCTGAATGGGAGGTAAGGTAAGGAGGAGATAAGGGGAAGAAGTGGACTGGGGGAAGGGAGAGTTGGACGGTTAATTAAGAACAGTCAGTGCAGTAAAAGCTGTGAAATCGAAGGTTAGATGGGAGGAGAAAACGGGGAGTTCTTCACAGTAAATTGGTCAGAAATTTATGGCTCGGTTTTTGGTTTTGTGGAAAGTGAAATAGTAGCTCAACATTGTTTCATTTTGGGCGGCGAGATTACAAGTTCAATGGTTTATTGTGGTCTTTATGTTGAAATCTGAAGAAATCACGGTGGAAGACTAATTTCAATCTGAATCAAACTTGAGTTCCGCCCAAGTAACATTGCAAGTTTTATAGAGGTTTTAAAGAAATCTACATGTCTTAAATATGGTCTACAGAACACTCATAAAACTCAAATTGATACTAGGACGTTTACTTAGTTTCGCTCAAGCTTCGGCTACTCACTTTACTCGGCCTGAGTGAAATTTCTCCAAAGAGTGAAAGTTTCAAGCCCATAGAGCAAATCAAGTTGACCCTGCTTTTAAATCTACCTTAAATGTGCGTCCGGAGGGCTTCTAGAATAAGAGTACAGCACTTACGAACTTTGAAGCCAAGTATTTGGCTTCAACCATGTTGTTTTGAACCCATCTTAGACCCCTGTAAAATCTACAGAGTATATCCGCCTTGGAAATCCTATGAATTTCACTTTGCAGTCGCTTGCATTTGTTCCGAAGCAAAGCTGGTCTAATACCCAAAACTCAGAACGCTCTCCGAATTTGTTCTCAGAGTCTCTTGAAGTTGCCGACATGTTTTGCCAATTGGCATGTCCAGAACCAGACGACTTTCCTAACAAGTCTACATGACTTTTTAAGTCAAAGAAAAATGAACTCGGAGGCAAAGTCTGCACGGAAACCCTTGAGAGGAATCTATGAAAAAGGTCGAAGACAAAAGGTTGAATGGACAAAAGGACGAATGGACTAAAGGTCAACTGAACAAAATGTCGAGTGGACATGAGGTCGAATTGAACTTAGAGGGACAAAAGGTCGAATGGACAGAAGGTCGAGCAAATCAAGCCGACCCCAAACTCAAAGGTAAGCTCAGATGACCTTGACCAGTGCACTTACGAACTTTTAAACTACGTCCTTGTGATCAACCTTGTTGTTTTGAACCCGTCTTAGACCCCTGTAGAATCTCAAAGTAGATCCACCTTCAAAATCCTATGAATTTCACTTTGCAGTCGCTTACATTTGTTCCGAAGCAAAGCTGGTTTAATACCCAAAACTCAGAACGCTCTCCAAATTTGTACTCAGAGTTCTTTGAAGTTGCAGACATGTTTTGCCAATTGGCATGTCCAGACGACTTTCCTAGCAAGTCTACATGACTTCGTTTTTTTTTAGAAAGAAAAATGAACTTTGCGGGTCAAGTCTAGAGAGGAATCTATGACAAAAGGTCGAAAGACAAAAGGTCGAATTGAACTTAGAGGGACATACGGTCAAATTTTACTTAGAGGAACAGAGGGTCGAAAGAACAAAAAGTCGATTGGAAAATGTCGAATGGACAAAAGGTCGTAATGGACAAAAAATGAAAGTTAATAAAAGGTCCAAAAACCATCATCAAAATTGACAAAATATATTTTAGAACATTTTCGCTTAGAGTTTTAAAAAAATAAAAAATAAACTACTATGCAAATTCTCCCAAAGAACTGCTCATGATTTGAATATATTCTATATTTCAACAATTTGACCAGTTTATCCATTTCGACCTTTTTCCCATTCAACCTTTTTTCCATTCGACCTTTTTTCCGTTCGACCTTTTTTTTCCATTCGACCTTTTTTCCATTCGTACTTTTGTTCTTTAAGGTGAAATTCGACCCTTAGTCCTTTTTGTCCATTCGATGTTATGTCCCTTCGACCTTATGTCTCTCAAGTTCAATTCGACCTTTTGACCCTGAATCAATTTGTCTATTCGACGTTTTGTCCCTTAGACCTTTTATCATTTTAACCTTTGATTCTTCGACCTTTTGTCCTTCCTACTTTTGTCCTTCAACCTTTTGTCCTACGACCTTTTGTCCTTCGACCTTTTGTCCTACGACCTTTTGTCCTTCGACCTTTTGTCCTTCGACCTTTTGTCCTTCGACCTTTTGTCCTTCGACCTTTTGTCCTTGAACTCGTTTATTGAACCCGTCCTCGAAGTGTTCTGGCTTCACCCAAGAAGTTTCCAGAACCCACCCTAGAGATCCCCACCGACAGTCTTCAAATCCCATCAAATCTGATTGCTAAGTCGTAGATAACTGTAATCGAAGTACCCACGGTAGGCACTCTCGAAGCCTTCAATGGGTTTAATTCTGCAGAGCTTTTAGGACAAAACCGGGTCACTTTAGGAGAGCTTTGAGCCTCATTTCAAGGTGACCTAGAGACAAGGTGAAAAGTTCCAAAGTGCTCTGAAATGTCGCTCAAAAATGCCATGGACCTTCCAAAATCCTCAGAATTCCATTCTGCATTCGAAATAATGCTGAGCTAACGACCATAGATCGAACTTGAACTCAGTATCATTTGAGTTCATTCATTAGAACCGTTCTCGTAGTGTCCTGGTTTAACTCTCCCTAGAGCTTTTCACAGTACTGAAAATTCATTGAACTTCGACACTTCCGAAGTCCTCTGGACTTACTCCTGAGGTCCTCAATGGATGTAGGTCTGGAGGGCTTTCAGGAAGATCTAGATACAAGTAGAACATTGAATTTCACTCCAAAGTTCCGTGGAATTCGGACATTCCTTCAAATCCTTTGTATTAAGATTCTGAAAAACCTTCGAACTTCACTCTGTAATCTGTCAGACTTCTGGAACCATACTAAGCTAACGTACAACGACCAAACATAAAACTCTGAATATTTTGAACTCGTACTTCGAATTAGTTTGTTAAGTGTCTTATGCTCTATAACCTGATCTGGGGCTTTTCACATCCAGTGTTCAAAGCTTATTGAACTGTATGCCCACTGTTTGCACTCCAGAAAGCTTCTGGACTCGATCCGGAGCTGTTCTAGACGTTCTGAAGAACTCTTAACGAAGTTAACCAGATGTCTGTAATGGATGGACATTTTAACAAGATTCAGTCCTGGTTATACGTGGAAGTTCATTGGACCTACCGTTTTGAAGTCCTCAAGCTCCACCCTCAAATTACTTCCGACGATCACCGCAGGAACCTCCTTGAAGGCTCTATGTCCATTATCCATACAACCACAAACCTAAAACCGAATCATGCTCTGAGCGAAAGAATCTACAGAGGTTATAGGTTTGATCTGTAGCTATTTTTGAACGAATTTTAAGACCCTGAACTCGCTCATAATGTCCGAAAATGCCGTCCAAAAGTATTCCATTATCATCGGAACCCCGAATTCTTTTGGACCTTTTTTCTGAATTCCGCTCTACCTGACTTCCCGTTAAATATCACCAGATCATTTACTTGAGTATTTAGGACTTGTGATCATTGTTTTTCAGAGCTCCCCAACGTCCTTACATGTCCCGTACAAGAGCTGAAAGTTCATCATAGTGTTCCGACGCCAGGTCCAATGGTCTCGACCTCAGAAACACCTTAGAACAACCCTCGAATATCACAAGACTATTGTTGACGTTCCGTTAGCGCATCTTCCAGGGCTACCCACTAGATCCTTTTAAGTTGTGAACAAATCCTGAACCCATTTCCAAAGCTCGCGTGGGAAACCCTTTTGACCGACCATTAAATATCATTAATGATCGTAGTCCACATATTATTCACCAGAACTACTCGTAAAATCGTTACAAATGCTGTTGAAACTCTTGAATTCCACCAAAATTGTTCCGGACCCAATTCTGATTCTCTCAAAACTGGCATCGGAAAACTTTAGTTGGATATTAGCCTGATCTAAGTAGCCGTATACTGCTCTCCAGAGCTACCCCTATAATCCATCCAAGACCTGTTTCTTGAACACAGCACCTGATCTTAGTCCACAACCTAAGTAACAATTTGGGTGAGGGTTCTGTAGACCATGATTTAGACTTGTAGAATGCTTTACAATTATGATAGAACTTGCAATGGAAATTATCTTCTCCAGAACTACTTCCAGAATTCTTCCATCACCAGTACAGACCCTATAAAAATCATCAAAATCCGTCTGAATCTATCCCCAATAATCTAGAAATCGAAAACTCTTCAAGTCCATAAATAATGGTCTCCAGACCTTCCACCAAACATCTTCCAACTTTTGTTGAATCTCTGGAAATTCACCAAAATTATTCTAAAGTTCACGTCAAATCCATCGAAACAGGTCTTGAAAACCCTTTGGATCCACAATTGGATATTTCAGGACTTAGGTCGTAGTCCCCATATAAAGTGGTTTAGAGCTACCAGCAGAATACATCCAGCTCGTATTGAAATCCTGGAGATTCATCACAAGTGGATTTACTCAAAAATGAGTCGAATTTTTCGGGCTTTTTCTGGAAAAAAAAACTACTCGAATATGGAGTCGGAAAATCGATAGAGGTTTCACTCAGTCTATTAGTATAGTCCTAGACTGCACGAATTTTTCCCGGAAAATTCAACTCGCTTTTGAGTAAATCCACTTTTGCTAAAATTGTGTCAACTCGGCTCTAGTTTGAGTCGGTCTCAACGACCGTGTAAACACAGAAAGTCACATCAAACACACATTAGCTAAATAATACCACAATCTACCGCTAGGCGGTGCTAGTGTCTGATCAAGAAGGCTAAAAAGCTGTATATCTTCGGGACTTTCGGATGTTCTACAAAGTTGTAACTGCACCATTTGTCTATGTCGTTCATGAATT